GCTTTGTTACCCTACATGTTATTGTACTATTATCCCTGGTTGCTGTCGTGGTCCTGTGCTGTGGCTATTCCCCTACATTGCCCAGTGTCAGACCGTCAAGTGGAGTCGCAGAGCTTAATGTCACCACCACGCCAGGGAGTTGAACCACTGGCATATCTGACCCAGAGGAGACACGAGACATGTACTGATGTGCTGACAACATGCATTTTCATACATTCAATATTTCAATGCTGAGCGGATATTGCACTCGTCCTTGAGAGGTGATGGCGTTCAGCAAATTAGCTGAAACTTTGCACATGTAAAATATGATGTTCAGATGGTTCCTTGTATGTGTCAAAGCGTGCCACAACAAAATGCTTCACTAATTTGGGTAAAACGAAGAAAACCCATCCCCAAAACATATATTTTGGCGAAGTAGGCTTGATTGAATCTGACCAATAACAGAAACTTGGGTAAACCTAGCAGCATAATACCTCGACGGGTGGGGTTAAGGTTAAAGTGGTAGAGGAAGGAATAGCATGACTGCTCCATAGTAGGATATACACAAGCACCATTACATGGAGGGACAGATTCATTTCTACACCATAACCTGAGGGAAGACTTAAGGAATCCCACAGAAGTTTCTCTTTTGACGCCAACCATGAGAAACAGATTCGAAATTGCGAGTCCGAAAACAAGAGAAATACTGTGGTACACATTCTTTAAAACTCTCAGACAGCATTGGGCACAGTATTTACGACATCGTCAACAGTTTTCTGTTCTTTTCTTTCGCTAGTTTCTGTTTATACTTTACTTATGGTAGACGATGTCTTTGGAGAGGGCGTGGAGAGGTATGAGTGCGATAGGTATGCTGGTGGTAGCATCATGGTCATCCAACAGGATGGATCTGGTGATCGGTCAAGAAAACCATGAACGATGAACATTATATGGAACAAATATTACTGCCTGTGGTCATCCCTGTATGGCGGTCTGAACTGAGTACCAGAATGACACTGCACGTCCCCGCAGTGCTCTTGTCGCAGTCGACCTTCAGCGGTAGCAGTCAGTCACAACAATGACCTAGCCAGATCTCCAGACATGCCACCAACTGAACACTTCTGGATGTTCTGGGCGGGAAGGTTCTCAACCTACCTTGCTCCAAAAATTTACAAAAACTTGGGCAGACTTCACAAGACACAGAAACCAAGGACACAAAAGACATTCCTACGTTTGATAACCAATATACCCTGCATTGATATTCATGGGACGTGAACCAGATATTGACGTTAGTCTGAAGATTGAAATCCACATGATTTCTTTCATATTATTACTGAATGTATTTGGGGTTTCTCTTAAATATTTCTCCTCGTGTAAATCTGTGGTATTATCTGACTACATAGAACTACACCGTATACATTCTATGCCTGTCTTTCCACGTGGGGAGCAATCATGACACACAGCCATCATTAGCATAGATACCTTTTCACATTTGTCTCTGAATATAACTTCATCCCATTGATGGTCCTGTCCTTTTCACGATACGTTTCAACTAACTCCTCATCATTCGCTAAAATCAATTACACTTTTCTATTTTTTAAAGCGTTGACTGCTTTGATGAACAGCCCAGGTAATACAACACCCATAAAAGACTGCATCTTGAAGCGGAGAATACAATGCCGCCCTGGTATTGCTCATCTGGGACTGAAACGTGTAACGTCAGGACTGCAATGATGACAGGCGTCTTTGAGTGGACATTACAAAGTTGGTGGTTGGCGCTGAATGCCAAATGCCATGTGTTAATATGAATATCGAGGCTTTGTTAAATGTACGAGCTCCAGTTATGCCACATGTTTGGTTCTCTGTGGTCATTTTAGGCACATTGAGCATCGATGGAACAGAATCACTTTAGCAAAGTACATCTGCAGTAGTAAATTACAATATCTTTGTCTAGTGTTGCTGGGTATTTAATATTTCATCAGCTGCGGGAGTAGGTGGCGGGAGACTTACTGCTTGACAGAACGTGTCTCCCTTGGGAGGGGCACTGAGATCGTTAACGCAGCAATACCCGTGGTGAGAGCAATATTGTTTTGTTTGGCTGGTCATTTAGATCATTAGAGCATCTTCGAGACGCCGCGTTTCCATGTACACTTAGGAACGTTTGTTTGTGTTCTTTTATACTGAAATGTATTGGAGGATGTATATTTGATATGTTACCTCTTTATTCAAGAGTACAGGATCATGCTGAAATGTAGGGGTAATCTCCGTGGGTGACAGCTGAAAGGTGGGCGTCAGATATACATGACGTCAAACTGCCCTATATCTTACGTCTTCTACCATGAGAAGTGAGTGAGTGAGTTTGGTTTTACGTCGCTTTTAGCAATATTCCAGCAATATCACGTCGGGGGACACCAGATATTAGCTTCACACAATGTACCCATGTGGGGATTCGAACCCGGGTCTTCGGCGTGACGAGCGCACGCTTTAACCACTAGGTTACCCAACCGCCCCCATGCGAAGTGCATCTTCACAATGTGACCACGCTATTGGATGGACTTGATTGACTTCTACACAGTCCCACAAAGGTAGTGTCAACTATTTCTACAGACACATATATCTATGAACATTCTCATAAACACATTCCCCATACACATTCAAGTACTCTGTAATAAACACACTTCATTTAGTGTATTCTAACACATTCCTTCTAATATATGTTATATCTGGGATTACACGTTCCTTCTAATATATGTTATATCTGGGATTACACGTTGCTTCTAATATATGTTATATCTGGGATTACACGTTCCTTCTAATATATGTTATATCTGGGATTACACGTTCCTTCTAATATATGTTATATCTGGGATTACACGTTCCTTCTAATATATGTTATATCTGGGATTACACGTTCCTTCTAATATATGTTATATCTGGGATTACACATTCCTTCTAATATATGTTATATCTGGGATTACACGTTCCTTCTAATATATGTTATATCTGGGATTACACGTTCCTTCTAATATATGTTATATCTGGGATTACACGTTCCTTCTAATATATGTTATATCTGGGATTACACGTTCCTTCTAATATATGTTATATCTGGGATTACACGTTCCTTCTAATATATGTTATATCTGGGATTACACGTTCCTTCTAATATATGTTATATCTGGGATTACACGTTCCTTCTAATATATGTTATATCTGGGATTGTTCCTTCTAATATATGTTATATTGGGATTACACGTTCCTTCTAATATATGTTATATCTGGGATTACACGTTCCTTCTAATATATGTTATATCTGGGATTACGTTCCTTCTAATATATGTTATATCTGGGATTACACGTTCCTTCTAATATATGTTATATCTGGGATTACACGTTCCTTCTAATATATGTTATATCTGGGATTACACGTTCCTTCTAATATATGTTATATCTGGGATTACACGTTCCTTCTAATATATGTTATATCTGGGATTACACGATTCCTTCTAATATATGTTATATCTGGGATTACACGTTCCTTCTAATATATGTTATATCTGGGATTACACGTTCCTTCTAATATATGTTATATCTGGGATTACACGTTCCTTCTAATTATGTTCCTCTGTTATATCTGGGATTACGTTATATGTTATATCTGGGATTACACGTTCCTTCTAATCTATATATATGTTATATCTGGGATTACACGTTCCTTCTAATTACGTATCCTTCTATATCTGGGATTACACGTTCCTTCTAATATATGTTATATCTGGGATTACACGTTCCTTCTAATATATGTTATATCTGGGATTACACGTTCCTTCTAATATATGTTATATCTGGGATTACACGTTCCTTCTAATATATGTTATATCTGGGATTACACGTTCCTTCTAATATATGTTATATCTGGGATTACACACGTTCCTTCTAATATATGTTATATCTGGGATTACACGTTCCTTCTAATATATGTTATATCTGGGATTACACGTTCCTTCTAATATATGTTATATCTGGGATTACACGTTCCTTCTAATATATGTTATATCTGGGATTACACGTTCCTTCTAATATATGTTATATCTGGGATTACACGTTCCTTCTAATATATGTTATATCTGGGATTACACGTTCCTTCTAATATATGTTATATCTGGGATTACACGTTCCTTCTAATATATGTTATATCTGGGATTACTGGGATTACACGTTCCTTCTAATATATGTTATATCTGGGATTACACGTTCCTTCTAATATATGTTATATCTGGGATTACACGTTCCTTCTAATATATGTTATATCTGGGATTACACGTTCCTTCTAATATATGTTATATCTGGGATTACACGTTCCTTCTAATATATGTTATATCTGGGATTACACGTTCCTTCTAATATATGTTATATCTGGGATTACACGTTCCTTCTAATATATGTTATATCTGGGATTACACGTTCCTTCTAATATATGTTATATCTGGGATTACACGTTCCTTCTAATATATGTTATATCTGGGATTACACGTTCCTTCTAATATATGATATTCTGGGATTACACGTTCCTTCTAATATATGTTATATCAGATATATGTTATATCTGGGATTACACGTTCCTTCTAATATATGATATATCTGAGATTTTCGTAGTAAAGTACAGATTCTTGTACTTTTGTTGGGTTGAGTCCCATCGGGGATTCGAACGCAGACCCTCAGAGTCAGGCACCTAATCGCCAGCACGCAATGTGAGCCGTCTAACCCACGCATCCACTGCGGCCTCCACACATTCAAAATGGCTGAGAGGGTTTGGCGGCTGACTTACGCATTCACATATACTCAAATATACATTTGTATAACAAAACACATACGTAGACATTCAAATGTGAACTCCAGCAAACTTATGATCGCATGTGCAATGACCGAGGTGAGTCCTCCAAACTGTGGACGGCTTTAATCAGAGCAATAGTACTCGAGCAATAGTGCTGTATAATGAACAGCGCTGTTATACAGAGGCAACCTTTACTAAGGTTACCTTTACTCCCATTCTTTATCATTGCACTAAGGTTACCTTTGTGACTTACGATCACCTTAATGCTTTGTGAAAGAAGGCCCTGGAGTCCTTTGTACAAAGTAATCTTAGCGCTAATGTGACCGTAGCCCCCATTCCTGAACATAGACTTAAGGTAGTGTTAGCGCTAAGGTTGTTTTGTACAACGGCACCCTGGGCCTCGTTCTTCACAGCGATCGTAGCGCTAAGATGATCGTAACTCCCATATTCTAACATAGACTTACGACTGTCGTAGGGCTACGATCGTTTTGAGGAACGGGGCCAAGATAGAATCTGTTGGCTCCTTGTCTCGGATCTTGTTATCACTTTTCTCTGATGTTAGACAAAGTGTTTGATTTTATGACTCCTCGAGCATTTTCACACCATCATACTTCACCAACATCCAGCAGAAACAAATACCGTCAGATGTAGGCTCATCAAAGAATATTGACAAGAGAAATGGCAGTATCGATCTGTGTGGGCTTCCTCTTTCGCGACTGGAGTCACATGTAGACTCCATACCTTCACAACAGAGTAACCAGGGAGGTGGGGAAGGGTAGTGATTAAAGCGTTCGCTCGGGTTGAACACCATCATGGGTACAATGTTAGGAGACCCGTGAAGATCCGGGTTAGAATTGATCTTCAGTAACCCATGCTTGTCGTAAGAGGCGACTAACGGGATCGATGACTTGGTTGACACGTCATAGTATTCCAGTTACGTAAATCGATGCTCATGCTGTTGATCACTGGATTGTCTGGTCCAGACTCGATTATTTACAGACTGCCGCCATATAGCTGGAATATTGCTGCGTAAAACTACTCACTCACTAACTCAAAATTTTTGGAGACCATTGATATTGCGCGGAGATTGCTAAACCTGTGTAAAACTATACTCACTGCTCATTCCAGAGGACTTTTATTAGCTCTACACGTCCAGGTTGACGTACGTTGTACCGTAGATACAGACTCGATTATTTACAGACTGCCGCCATATAGCTGGAATATTGCTGCGTAAAACTACTCACTCACTAACTCAAATTTTTTGGAGACCATTGATATTGCGCGGAGATTGCTAAACCTGTGTAAAACTATACTCACTGCTCATTCCAGAGGATTTTTATCAGCTCTACACGTCCAGGTTGACGTACGTTGTACCGTAGATGACAAACCTGCCGTCGGTGGAGCAGAATACGCTCACCTGTTCGTGAACACTAGGTGACATCACTATATGATAGTGATTTATAAGCACATGCCCATGGTATAGACGAGATTTGCGGAGATTTCTTATCAGTATGCAAAAGGTATTGTCGCTTTTGTCGCTGCGGTCCAAACACAATGCTTGGACTACAAGACTGCAGAATATTCAACACCGAAACGATTGTAATTCATTCAATCGTTCGTTCGTTCGTTCGTTCGTTCGTTCGTTCGTTCGTTCGTTCGTTCGTTCGTCCGTTCGTTCGTTCGTTCATTCATTCATTCATTCATCCATCTATCCATTTATTCATCCATTCATTCATTCATGTTAGCTGACTATTGCCAGAAGATGATCAGACAGAGTATGTGTCTCCACACACGATTCCAATCAAATATACCTGTAAACCTATCATCTGTGTAGGTGGACGTATCTATGTACGGATTGAGGAACATCTCAGCACGGGTGTAGCTGAACAGTTGACACGTTGCGTTGTCTGCACATCTCCTAGTCAACATGATGGATCTGATAGCTATACTGCACTAAAAGCATTAGACGTGTGATGTGAATTATGCATCATTGTCAAGAATGGTGTCCGTCTAGACACAAGGCACAGATAGATTCCACCATACTTGTTACATTATCTCAGCCTATCGCAGATCAACTGCAGCTTTGATCAACCAGGCCCTCAACTGCTGATATGCCGCGAGCCACAACATATTTTCCATTGTAAAAAAATCTTTTTTCTCGTTATATTTTTAATTACGTTGCTTAAAGGTACGCCGACCACAAGCTTTGCAAAAGCGAGATAAGATAATGAGACTTTTTACCAAATAAGAACCGTCTTTTTATCTCCCTACAGAGACTGTAGATCTATTTCCGTAAATTAGCAGTATGGAAAAAGGTCAGTACTGGGACAGAGGTCACAGCTCTATTTGTCGCATTCATCTACACCCTCCTTTCTTCCGACTGACAATATTTGTAATAATTTCAAGAGATGAATATAAATAGAAGGTGTGTCTTTAAGCTATATACTATTAGAGTAACAGATCGCACACCAATTTTGTAAACAAAAAATTCAAAACCTGAGCTCCAGTTGTGGTTCGGGTTGAAGTGCATACATACTGAAAGTGTACACATATAACTGCCGTACTTGTAACTCAGTAAACTCGTTTGTTAGTAACGCGTTAGTCAGTAACGGAATGTCTAACTACAGTCACAAATACTATACACTACCATTGTCAGCAATGCCGTGTCTAGCGTGTATGACATAACGAACGGTAGTCATAAATATTTAAATGTGTATGCCATAGAATACCAGGAAATAATCCGAGATTAACATGTAATCTTAATCACCAGTATTCCACCTTACTCATGACATAAATACCATATCCTTCGGAAGCTTATAACTAACATTTGTAAAATACACTGTAGTTCGCTATGCCCTGTTACTATAATCATATATACTATAAAGCACTGGAGTCATAAATATTTTACGTATATTACAGCTGTAATCGACAGAAATGTTATCAATGGCCAGCAATGTATTAAGAGCGGGTCACAGTAACGTGACAATTTTGCCTTACAACGAGCTATTATCAATCAAATTAACCTAGATGTTTGTGACATCTTCTGAAGCAATCACAAAATATTTTTTATTCTTATTTTTATTTTCCACTCCTCTTGAAGCGCATTGCCGATTTATTGACGTCAGCGTGCATGTATGCTGACGATGTTCCAGACATACTCTGCATGGGAGAAGATTAGGACTTTGGATAGCTATTTGTTGTGGTCATGTCATGTAGGCTATTGCTGCTGGAGAAAGTCAGCTACAATATATGGACGGTGGGCACGATCGTTATCGTCTTAAAAGATAACACGAGGACTGATGTTGTCTGGGCGGTACCTTTCAGTGACCGTTTTATGGACAATGGGCAGTGATATTATGGCAGTCATCCCGCCCCATCTTGCAGACCCACCCATATAGCCGTATGCTGACTCTCGTATAGCTTTCATTGGGACGACATCAGACTCGTCCACGCATAGTTAGGATGGAGTATATATATACAATACCACAGGCGATTGTCCGAGTTGCCTCGCTCTATAAACCCTTGACATCAAGATACTGTTGATTTGTTAACGGTGGTACAACACGTGGTCACGAAGCATGAAATTAGCTGTGTGCAGACGATTTATTATCGTCTGCTCAGTAATGTGAACTCAGGCGGCCTGACGCAAGTGAACAGCGATTTGATTGGCTGTTCTAAGATGCTTTGTTAAAGGATCAAAGGCATCGACAATGCTTTATTAGGCGATAAAGTACACTTTTTGAATTACGTCACACTGAATTGTCGTCACTACGCCATTCTAGTCTGTACCCTAGTAATCAAACGTTACCTTGGTAACCGACGTCACTATTCACTATTGCCCAGTACAGTCTCATACAGTACAACTAACTCGGTTAGCAACCCTTTCACGATTTGCAGCTGCTTCGGTCGGCTAACGTCACTGGTGGAAACATTACGTTTCACTTTTTCGATGAACAAAATGCCTCAGTTTGAGTCACAATTAAACAGCGGCACGACATGGTTCGCTATGTCCTATGTCCAGGGTCCCACAATGCATCGGTGGAATGTCACGTGATCAGTCAGCTTGCTACAGGCGTACTGAACTATAAATGATCACGAGACGTTCATATTGTCTCATATGGTTTACATAAATCACAAATGAAATTTCTGTAATAAGGAGAATATGTTTCAGTATATGATAAACCGTCATTTGTTTTATTGGTAACAGGTATCTTAAAGTAGAGGGACAGACACATTAATGGAACAGTACGTCAGTGAGCCCTGAGCGAGGATTGTCGATTGAGGTCACAACCTCGTTTTTCTATTTCCTTTCTGTTTTAGATTAATCGTCGGTAAGTATTAATTTGACATCCAGAAAAGAAATACAGTTCCCATGCGTCCGATTGCTTTAACGTTACATAAGAGTTAAACTTTATGATTTTACTTTATTATGCCACACATGGAGGTACAGCGAACTGTATTTAATAATAATTCTGTCTTGACTTCTATTTCGGATTAATTCATCCCTGGATATGTTGCTGACCAGAGTGAATTGTGCAGGAGTGATTACCGACATTTTGTTTCCACAAAACCCTGTCCCAGTCTACAAAGCTACTGAATCACACTGACTACCTCTTGCCGAGTTCTTCCAATCTGAAGCATGAGAAACGTCCTGGGGCAAGTGTAGGGCTTGACACTGACAGTGGCAGTAGTACGCCTAGACGCTGGTAATGAATTACCTGGTGGTTCTCGTCATGCAGACCTGTATGCGCTGATACACGACAGAAGCGACACCTACACTGGAATGTGTACATGGCCCTCATATTGACATTTGACCTGACCATCGCGAACCTAGGGCAGTTTGGTAGTCTAGTGGTCAAAGCGTTCGACACGCCGAAGGTCTGGGTTCGATTCCCAACTTTGGTATGTGTGAAGCCCATTTATGGTGTCTCACGCTGTGATTTTGCTGGAACAGTGATAAAAACGGCGTAAAACCATAGTCACTCACTTCGCGAACCTATTCATGGCGGAAACAGACGGCATGTTTAAATTGTAGAGAAACTGTTCAAGACGACATTCATGGCCTGTGATGATGTCCTGTCTACAACAGAGAACGTGTCAATAACATATGTCATGAGGTAAATGATACATCAAATATTTCGGTGACTCTCAAACGTTTGCACCACTATATCATCACGTGATATATAGTGGAACGGCCAAAGTCTGTTGTGATATCTTAAAACACAGTAAGTCAGTAATAGAACGATTGTAGCAGTCATTGCTTATTATAAATTTGTGTTCTAT